TACAGAACTAGGTAAGATATATATATATTATTATACAGAACTAGGTAAGATATATATATAGATATTATACACACAGAATTAGTTTATCAATGTGTTAGAAATATAAGGTGTGCTGGATAAACCAACTGTATATTTAAGGACTCCTGATCAGTCTTATTAAGTAGTATTTTCATGAATTTGTTTTGTAATCTACATTATTCAAATATGCTCAACCACTAAAAACATTTGAGGACATGTTAGCGTTATGGTCGTAGATACTGCTAACAGTATATAAAAACTGTATTACATTAGGTTAATATTTAGTTCTGATTTCTGTAGGTAGCTTGTTTTGAGGGAAAGGTAACGATAATTTAAAAAGTTTTGAATTGTTACTACTTTTTCTGAATTATTTTCTGGCCTTTAATAAGAAAAATATCGGTATTCAACATCTGAATACTGACATATAATTTTCCTAACATTTTAGTGATATAAATTTTTCATGTTTTGAAACATACGTAATATTAATTTGAAACATCATATATGTAACTGCGGATAAATTTTAACACATCTTAATTTACTCTTGTATAAGGAATGATGTCTCCTGAATACAGGCAGTTTCTTCTTACTGATATTTCACAAAGGTTAAAGGTGAAACAAAGGGCAATGGCTTCCTGGTTCAGGACTCATTTCACCTTTGTTCCACTCATCATGAATACATAGCCTAAACAATCTGTCATGACATACATGTTACCTTGATTGTTTCCTGTGATGTAAAAGTTAAACCAATTATATTAACCATAAACTGTATGTACACAAACCTAAATGTTTAATTTTGTATCAAACATATTTTTCAAATTTTTCACTAAAGAGCTTTATGTTTAAAACATGCTTAAGAATTAAAAATAATATATCATTTTATAGGGAAATAATACTTTAATTTTTGAATATTTTGTGATTTGGTGAAACTTTTTGTGAATACAACATTTGTTCATCGATAGCACTGAAGATATTTCTGACAAACTGGAAGTACAAGAAAAAATATCAATACCAAACATATCAAAAGACCCAGAAACTCAACAAAAAATAAGTGATACCGATGTTCCGGGTCCCTTAAACACGTAAGTGAAGTTTATATGTTCAGTTCATTTGGACGTGGAATTAACTTTATTTTTCTAAACCCTTTTCTAACCTACATATGTGTCGAAATAAGAAATTAAGTGTGTTGTTGTTAATATGATCTTCAACATTTACGGAACCTTTAGAGACAAGTGTATCAACATTCTTAACTCAAACAAGGTCTTGTGTGTTTATTTAAAATTATTTTCCCTACTTTAGACACGATAGAGCTACATAATTAATCATAAATTTTAACTCACTCTCTGTTACGTAAACATAAGATATACTGCAATCCTAATTAAACGTTGAAATGTTTTTATGTTCACTTCCATTGTGGTTCCTACTGTTTTGATAAGCTCATTTATGTATATTTCTATTGGAATTTGAAAATGATGTATACAACTTCAACAGAAACTATACTTGTGTCAGAATAAAACATGCTATCCAGTGGTAATTCTTTCAATAAATCAAACTGCCTTATCATTTTCTGGGAATAGCAAGCAGCCAAAGTCTTGACACAATATTAAATAAAAGATAGAAAGACAAGTAATTTAGGTTTTGCTACACATCTCACCTTGAATGAAAGTCATAAATACAGTGTTTCATAAAAATTATTAAAAACGAACTATCTTCGTACTTTGTACGTCGTAAACCTAAGAATATACCTGTTAAAATTTCCACGAAACTCTGTTAAAGAATTTGGTTTTGTCTCCGAAACATAATTCAAATAACAAAGAATGATATAAAACAATGAATTAAAAAATCATTCTACAATTTAAACTAATTATTTGTTATCTGTTATACGAGTTGCACTGTGACAATCTGGTATCCATTGGGTAGACTTTAACATGGCAAAAATCATACTTTGGAGATGAGTATGTCACTCGTATTTTGTAATAAATAAACATTGGGTTAGAGTTAAGGCAGCTTGAATCACGTTGTTAGTATCATTGTAATCATATTACGAATGATTACTATAAATAAGCAAAACAACCATAGTAGCCATCCTCACCATTTCTCTTCAACTAATGCATTTTTAAGATGAATTTCTTTGGTTTTCGGAATCTTAGTTACTCAAATGTGATGACCCTGGGTGGCATTTAATACTGAGATAAAATATTCTATCATATGTACATATTCATCCATTTTTACACAATGTTGCATGAGACATATTTTAAGAACTTTTATTTTTAGGGACCTATCATCAACAGAAAGTTTGAGACAAATTACACAACAGTTAAATGGATTAATGTCTCAAACACATGCATTTATAAATGGAGAGATTGAACCAGGAATGCCAGTGGGAAGCGACAGTGTTGAATTGGAAAGGAGAAATCAAGAACTTGCCAATTTGTTAGAGAGTCACAGACAAGCCAATGAACAGCTTCAGTATCAGCTCCAAGAACTGGTCAGTATAAGTAGGATAGAAGAAAGACTTCTTCTTTTTTTGTTTAGTTATAATTAACATTTTAATGTTTCTCGTTTAGTAATTCAACAGTCCGTTTTTTTAACTTATAAGTGATTCTAATCAGTAGTATTTATTAATGTTGAAAAGTATCCAAGTGGTTGATCTTTTTAGAGAGGGAAAAACAACATAAATTGATACGAAGATTATTATTAAATACACCTATAAGTGAAGATATCTTCTGACTTATAAGGATCTTGATTGAATTACTTGTGTCTGTCATAAAACAGGGTTCGTAGGGAGCCTAGAAATCCCAGAAAGTTGTGGAATCTGCAAAAAAAAAAAAGTTGTAGAATTTTAGTGAAAAATGGTTTTGATGATAGTTTGTCAGTCTAAATAAATGGAAAATTGAAGAAAGTTAGTTTTTGGCAAGTATTTATACATTTCTGTTTACAGGATCAGCACTTGGCTGTCTCTTTCATTGTAGGATGACAGTCAGCAGGATCAGCACTTGGCTGTCTCTTTCATTGTAGGATGACAGTCAGCAGGATCAGCACTTGGCTGTCTCTTTCATTGTAGGATGACAGTCAGCAGGATCAGCACTTGGCTGTCTCTTTCATTGTAGGATGACAGTCAGCAGGATCAGCACTTGACTGTCTCTTTCATTGTAGGATGGCAGTCTGTAGGATCAGCACTTGGCTGTCTCTTTCATTCTAAGATGACAGCTGGCATGATCAGCACTTGGCTGTGTCTTTCGTATTTTTCTCATGTTAGGCTTCATGAGTATTTCTTATGTTTTGTTCATGGCACTATAACTGAGCCAGAAGAAAAACTATTTGTTTAAAGAGTGGTGATTGCTTTCAAAGGAAGAATGGAAAGAGTATAATAATTGTTGAATTTAAATCACTTAAGTTCATCAGAATAGATGTGGCACGAGAGACGTAATATTTCGTGTACTTACTTCTCATTTGTACAAATAAATATTGTCTTTTCTTGCTAGAAAGCAAAGATAAACCGGACACAAAGGGAATTTGAAAGGGAAAGACAAGATCTGCAGGAAAAGGCTCACAGAGACCAGGCTTCTTTAAAAGACCAATTACAGGTTCACATACAAACTATTGGTATCCTAGTAGCTGAAAAAACAGAACTACAATCTTCTTTATCCCAGAGTCAACAAACAGCCAAACAGAAAGCTGGTGAGACTTTTATTATTTTAATAACTGATGTGATTTCACTATTTCACTATTATATTTAGTTTTAATTGTCATTAATTTTTAAGGGCCCTGCATGGCCAGGTGGTTAAGGCACTCGACTCGCAATCTGAGGGTCACGGGTTCGAATCCCCATCACACCAAACATGTTCACCCTTTCAGCTGTGGGGGCGTTATAATGTGACGGTCAATCCCGCTATTCGTTGGTAAAAGAGTAGCCCAAGAGTTGGCGGTGGGTGGTGAGGACTAGCTGCCTTCCCTCTAGTCTTACACTGCTAAATTAGGGACGGCTAGCGCAGATAGCCCTCGTGTAGCTTTGCGCGAAATTAAAAAAAAAATCAAAAAAAAATTAATTTTTAATTTTTCACCCCACCCCTTCCACCCCCTGATGAAAAAGGTTTGTCAACCTGCAGACATCTACTTTCCATCCACATGTTATCTAAGTATACTTTTTTAGGGATGAGAAAGAACCTTATTAATTTCTGGGTTAAAAGGTAAATGGTCAAGATCACCTTTTCAAGAAATAGAAATTTAGTTTCTGTGCAAAAGAAAAAACATAATCATAAAAAATAATTATAACAGAACTTATATTTTAACGATGTTTCGTCTTTGCGACTTCTTCAGGGCTAGTACATGAAACTGTTTGATATTACAATATTCGTTAAATTATAAAATTGCTGTATAATTTCAAACAGTTTTATGTAGTAACCCTAATGAAGCTACAAAGGTGAAACATTAATTAAAATATAAATTCTGTTATAATTATCTGGAGTATAAAGGTAATTTTTCTTCTTCTAACTTTATTATCAAAATGTGTAAATCCCTTTGAAAGACAACATATTCATCAAAACATTAAAACCAAACAAATAAAAAAAAAAATGGTTGAATTATCAGCTATCCAACTAATGGCTTTTTTTTAGTCCTCCTGTATTAGTGTCCTCCTATTTTAGTTAAATAATTATTTAAAACTTCTTATGATTTCATAAATGAATAACATTTGATGAAAATATGTTTCATAATTACTTAAATTATGTCTAATGTTCCTGTTTACTGTGAAACACTTTAAATGTTTTATGTTGCTAAATGTGCGTTTTTAAGTGGAAATTGAGGAACTGCAGGGAAGGTTACGAGCATCGAGACAACGTGTGTCTGACCTCGAAAAAGAAATCTCTAATGTATCTAGTTCATCTCAGCAGTTAGAAAAGGTTAGTATCTATTATAGAGAATTTAGTGTAGCATAGATTAAAACTATGAAAAATTAGTTTACAATTTTAAAGTATTTCAGAATTGTAATTATCGGTCATTTTGTGTTTATCCAGAGTTGTTATTCAACAGAAACAATGTTCACGTCATTCTTTGTTACTTGTGTGTATATTTATATTCATAGTACTTTCATTTAAAGATAATCAGAATTACTAATAGTTCAACAGTTTTCTTATTTCTTACGAGAGATCGATTTCTGTATTCAAAGAATCGTAATTTAGTCCTCATGACCACCTCTTAAAGCTAACTACGGTGGTCCTGTTACTTAGTTACATCTTTTAATAAATCATTTTTTATCTATTGAAAAACTTGTGTAGAGTATAATGTATTCACAGAATTATCAATTATAACATTACTTATACCATTAACTTTGTGTGTGTGTACAATGTTTGTTTTGCTAGGCTTGAGGGATCGTCTTAACACCACTACATACAGTTACTTGATCCCTTGGTAATTGAACGTCAGCTAATGAAACACTAGATAAGAAAATAAGTTTCAAAGAAAGAACCTTTCAAAAAATATCTTTTTAATTTCTCATCTAGAATATCATGAAATCACAAATACTAAATCATAAGCTTGCCCACTGTATCACCTGAATCTTTGTTATGTATCTTCCTATGAGATTTTAGTAAGTACTTTTATGCCTTCTAATGTGGAGCTTAGTACGTTAAAATCGTACTTCTGTGTTGTTCTATACCAAAAGGTCGAGCATGACCCAGTGGTTAGCATGCTGAACTGTGTATCCAAGCTTCTGTGGTTTGCACCCCATTATTGTTGAAAAAAAAAAACTCCCCACTTTGGGGCCATTGGTGCATTATAGGAATGATGGACAAATCCCACTTGTCAACTAGAGTAGTCCATGAGTTGTTGGAAGATTGTGTTGACAAAGTGGTTTCTGGCAGAGGGTTCTTGACAGAGTTCTTTCTGGCAGATGGTTCTTGACAGAGTGCTTTCTGGCAGATGGTTCTTGACAGAGTGCTTTCTGGCAGAT